GGGGGGGGGGGGGGGGGGGCGGATAAATTAATTAGTGGAACAGAAGTGTGTTTGTCTGTTTATGGAACTGTTGACGTTTTGCTGGCAGAGATCAACTGTTTCTTTATAGTTATGCATTATCAACCATAAAAGTAGCGCTACAGTTGGTTCAAAATATTTCAATTATGAAGACTAATATTTTTTACATATTTTTCTCTTCATTCCCCCCTTCACTGCAATACTAAGGCTTTAATTGTCATTTCTTCATTTTTTTCATTTTTTATGATTACAACTTCGGGTCAACTTTGGTAACTGCACATGATTACACAGGCTTTTTGTTTTAAAGATTTCGCACCTTGCTCAATCTCTGAGCCATTTCTAAATGTATTAACAGGCATTGACTGGAAACGTTGTGGATTGACTTTGGACTACGCTATCAATCAAAAAAAGCCATACATTATTGAAGTGGGAATACAATCTTTTTGTATTCATATTGTTGTCCACTACTATCATAAAGGTATAACATTCATTCAATCTTATGGTCGATAATGAATTATTGTTTTGATCTTTATGTTTTGGTGGAAACACTCACTTTTTATTAAGACTAATAAAAAAGAGATTCTAAGACATTTGGTAGAAATAACCATACTTTGCTTTGCTTAGGATGAAAAACTTAATGGATAGAGGGGTATTTATGCTAGAGGCTAGATAATGTAGACCAAATTTATTCCTAAAATATCTAGATATTTATTTCCAAAATATTCAGATATCTTTATTCCTAAAATATCTTGATATTTATTTCTAAAATATCTATGGCTCATACAGCTTGCCCTGGACTACTGATTATATTTTAATACTCCCACTCAAAACTAGCCCTCATTCGCAGTATGATATTGGTCATCCATCTTCTATAATAGTTGCGTTAGCATACTTAGGATTTGACTTTCGGATTTTTTGTGACCGTCTAAGTTGTTGAGGTGTCATTTCCTTTTTATCGAGTTCGCTTGATTGAGTCATTTGTTCACCAACATCAGTGCACTTAGATCATCAAATGCATCAACACTTGACCAAATGTGTGCAGTTTGCTTCCCATCTTTTGTAGTAGAATTTCTTCAATATTCTTCGAGTCTTGTTAAGACTTTCTTCTCTGAGGACCACCACAAAGATGTTTCATCAAAACCCATATCTCTTAAGGTGTAGCACTTTCTACTCATTGGGTATGTGCAGAACCCAAGCTTGTTCGTCCACACACGCTGCCTACGTGTGTATGCTCAACCGTTTGTGACCCAACCGACTTAACTTTACACTAGGCCAAGTCATTCGGCTCGACCTTGCCTCTATTAAGGGCCGAGGTCTTTCACTACAACGTCGCATCTCAAATTATATTGATTCCCAGTTAACAGTCCCACACATCTTAACATCATCTCAAGTCGCGGGGTGTCATTTGCCATCGTAGCTTGCTCAGTCATGCCTATCGAGAACGGGCCCATGCGTTGTTCATAATATCGGGACATCTCGAACATCCATCCGAATTCTATCGAGACATTGGACCCTCTTGTGTCCATGCCATATCATTTACAAATTCTGTACTGGATAGCAGGTGTATGATCCAACCTTCGACACATGGGTTGGGGCGCAATGTTGGCACACGTGTGTCGTTCAACACTGTCCTTGGAAATCTATTTCAAAGGAAGTCGTCTGAGACACTTGTTTTGCAACACTCCCTCTCATTGTGACACACGTATGCCTCCCCTCAAGTTACATTTTGAAGTTTTTTTGGTATGACAGGTATAGATATGATTTTGGCGAACGATCATACAATGTCATGGAGCGTTTGTTTGATGCTTGATTGACACCAAGTTTGGTGAGCTTTCATATTTCATATAGACGGATTTGACTGTAGAACCACATGTCTAAATTATCTCAAGAATCTCGACTTTTGAGGTTAAGGCTCGAGGCTCTATGTGGCCCTTCATCAAGCCTATCTTTGACATACTTGTCTACATTTGTCACCATCTTGCTTATGTCTTGTCTTCTCTTCAATACTCACTCTATATGGTGTGTTGGATGATGCACCGTCCTCCTTGGTCGCATCATGGCACTCGTCTATTTTGGCTCTTGCATGGCCGGATGGGGGTGTCACTTGAGTGTCGTCGCTTTGCTTGTCTCAACGTGAGGGTCACAATCTACTCTCTTCATAGTATGGTTGTGACACTCGACATCATTAGGAAGAATTCCCTAATTAGAGCTCAGTACATAGACATGTATGGACTACGGGTATCGTTGTAGAGCAAAGGAGCTCCCCCAGACTTATGAGTACTCCCCTAGGGCTTTTTCATGGAGCACGACTTGAGGCGCATTTCGCGCAAGGTTGACAAAGGACCTAGACATACATAAAACATCGAGCTAAGAGAACTAGAAATCCCTTTGAAGTTATGAACCCTAGGTGGGTTAGAGTGCTCATTAGACGAGGTATATTCAGGGTTAGTTACGTAGAAACTTGCAAAGGTCAACATAGACATTAAATCAGAGTTTTGGTTACCCTAGGAGCATGTATAAGAATAAGTTTGACAAGAACCTACAAGTAAACTGTATTTTTATACTCCTTCCAAAGCGTAGACCACTGTGATAGAGGGAGCGTGCGGTTGCTGAAGGGACCCCTAGATCGAGTCTTTTCCATTTGTGTTGCTTTTATTATTATTTTAATGTTATCTACTTCTAAAACTCATGTTATTTTATGAACTGTTTTTGATGTGACTCGGGTATGTTTTGTACGTTTAAATATTATTTTTACATAAGTTTAAATGCATATTTAAAATTTAAATTCTTTGTGTTCCCCGCTTTACAAAAAGAAAACTTCTACTACTTTTATACCCTTGAGTCGATGTGGCGATTCATGATTAGAAGTCTCGAAAAGTTGGTCATTATATTGATTCTCCATTTGCGCAAGGTGCCATTAGCATCGCCCTCTAGAGGCGTAATTTTGCTTTCGCCAACAACTTCCCAAAGGTCTTGTCCTTGTAGGTAGGACATCATGCATGTTGTCATGTGTTGAGCTACAATCACATAGTATTCTAAGAATTTCAAGAGCTTTGACAATCTATACCAACCTTGCTTTGATACTAGATTGCTGAACACAACTTTTTCGTGGGGAACACTCACACTCTAAGACCAATCAAGAAAAGATTTATAAGACATTTTGTAGAAACTACTACACTTTGATTTGCTTGGGATGAAAAAACTTAATGGGGTGGAGGGTGAAACAGTATAGACAAGATTTATTCCTAAAATACCTATATATCTTTATCTCTAAAATACCTAAATGTTTATTTATAAAATACTTATTATTTCCAATACTTAAATGGTTATTCCTAATTTATCGGATATTTTATTACTAAAATATTTATGGGTTCAACCTTGAACTTGATCCTATTAGACTTTTATATGGAAGTATAAGTTTGTTTTCTTCCTTAGCTGGTAGCCGAGGCCATGCCGTTGGTGCAGAAGACGCTGTTTGACAAAATAAACTCCCAAGGATAGCAGTTAAACTTAAGGTAGATCTCTGTCACTGCCTCCTGTACACTTACAATCATTAAGCAGGAGCATTTTTTAAGGTTGAAAGTGGATTTTTTTTAATTTTTAATTTTAATTTTTTTTTTGTTCAAGATCATCATATTTAAGGTTTTAAACGCAAATCTGCATACATGTTGAAATCTGGACTACAATGAATTTATCTTGGAAATGCATGCAATATAATATGCTTTCTTTTGCATGTGTAATTGTGTGCCGAAAGTAAATATTACTTTGTCCAAAATCTTATCGCAGTTTTTCTTCTGTTTTTTTCTTTTCCAAAAGTTCATTTAGTAATTCGCACTCGCTTTATGATATGAATGGTCATCCATACACTAAGAACAGTGTTTTATCGCAGTAAGGATAAGAGCATACTTTCTTAAAATTTTAGGTTTTCATGAACAGATATTTGCATATTATTCACGAGAGCTGTGTAGGGTTATCTTAGGTATGAACTGCAGATTCCTGAACTTGCTTTCATGTTCATCTTCAGATCAGTAGCTTTGGCAAGATCCTTGCTGGCATAGTTTTATACTCCAATGACTTTGCAATCTCCGCAATCAGAAGGGGAAATTATTGACGAAAATATTAAGAAATACATCATTTCAGCAATAGAGATGACTGACCTTAGGCCACAAGGAACTGAAGAAGATGGTTTTTGTCCAATGGACGCGCAAGTACAAATTGTGATCCAGTGTTTTGCATTGTTTGAAAGTAATAATTTGGAAGATATTTTGGTAGGGGTAAAATCTATGAGAACATTACCCATTGTAGTTCTCCCAGCATCTATTAGGAGCTGATATTGGTCACCTTCAAAGTTCAAGTCAAATACTTTGCAAAAGAACGCGAGATTAAAACGAATTTCAGATGTGAATGTGGACGGGATAAGTTTGAATTAGATGCATCTCATTAAACACACAGAAGCCCATTACAATATGACCAAAAAAAAAGGTAGATAACATTCACCCCTGCATCCAGGATTGTCGGTCTACACGACAACTCTTTATCAGCTTTATGCCTGTATTACGGAGACAAACATTCAAACCGATGTCAGATACCTCACAGAAGATCCAATTAATCTATTCTCTTAATTTTTAAGTGTTCTATAAAATGTGTCAAGATACCCTTGTTTATTTAATTCATATTCTAATTATAGTATACTTTTTAAGATGCAAAACAGTAGTAAAATAGAAGCTATGGTAATGTTTCTATTTTCAACTAATCTTATCCATGTTTCTTCAATTACAGATATAAATCCCGTCTTCTAAATTATACGAAGATGTTATCTTTCATAAATATTTTGAAATATATAAATACAAAATTATAGTATCCACTTTTTTAAAAGATCACACCTGCATTTGAATATATATTTTGAATTTCAAACCCACTCCTACTATAATTTTTTTTTTTTCATTTGCTTCAACCATTCTTTGATTCTATAAAGTTTTTGAAATTCTTGAAAATGCTCCACCCATAAATATATTTTAGTCCTCGAACGCTGATGTCTCACCTCTACTAAGAGGTTATTTATTTTTCTTTTTAAAAAAAACTTAATTGTGAGAACTTAAGAAAACTCTAAAATTTTGGCTTTACACATTTTTTTAAGTTAAAAAAGAAAAATTAATTTCTTGTAGCAGTTAATATTATTGTTGTCTAAACAATTTTTTTTCACAATTCACCATTAATTCTCCCGTACCAGAGATTTTCAATTTGAATAAGGTTTACGTTTATAATTTATGGTGATTTAATGGCTTTAAACTTCAAGCTTTTACTTTTTTCCCTTTTTACTAGTATTTACTTTTGTAACTTTCTGTTAAAAATAATATTATCAAGTGGTTTTATTAGTTTGTAATTAACTTTTATATTGTAATTTATAATATGTCTATGCAAATATTATGAAAACGAACATGAATTTTGATAATAAAACAAAAACCAAAAACCCATTTCAATTTCAATATTAAAAAAAAAAAAATTGTCAAAATTTTGATAATAAAATCGAAAAGAAATCAAGGAAAGTTTGAAGATAGTAATCCAATGAAATATGAAATTCACATGAACCCAAGGAAAGGGCACGTACCTTGTTAGCAATGTTGTTTGAGAGCCAATCTAATCCCTCATAAAGCCCTTCACCGGAGGTTGCACAAGTGCTCTGGATATACCTATTAAACACCACAGACGTTCATCCGACTTCAGAACAATATGTATGATGCAAAATGGTATTGGATGGAAGAACACAAGGATTACCAATGGCGCTGCCGAAGCGAGTGAAGACCAAGCTTATCAGTAATCTCAGCGGCGTTCATTGCATTGGGGAGATCTTGTTTGTTAGCAAACACAAGTAATACCGCATCTCGAAGCTCATCCTGAAGTCAGTGATAACAAAGCATCGACAAATTCCAAGTACAATTAATCATAAAATCTCCAACGTATGTACATGATAACAAAGCATGCTCAATCCTTGTTTAGTACTAGGCCTAGTTCTAAACCAACGTCATACAGGCATTAGGTAACTTTGACCTCTGAACAACATATTGATAAATGAAATTGCTTACCAAATTAACTCCAGATCATCTGAACTAAAATTTGTTAAGATATTTGGGGAAAAATATCATCAGAGAAAACAATACAAGGCACAAAGAAACACAATGAACCTCCTATAATTTATTCATAGTTCATTCTTGTCTGGTTATCATTGGACAGAATGAAACGAATTTCATATACATATGGCATGTCGTACTAAAATATCATCAGATCCTATCCACTAAGAAACTTCTCGTATAGGACTGAATACTTGGATCCAATTATTATTATGTGATGCAACTCCTACATGTAGTATACCGATCATTGTATGGAAAAGAAAAACGAGTCACCATTAATCATCCTTCAACAAGTGATTAAGTGCTGAAATTCTAAAGTTCCAATTGTCATATTTAGACGCTAAACACGATAACTCCATTGACATTCAGAGTGTGGTAAGAATGAAATCTACAGATCCTAGCAATGGATTAATGTTAACGAATGATAAATACATTCAGCACACCTCATTCAGCATTCTATGCAATTCGTCCCTTGCCTCAACAACACGGTCTCTATCGTTACTGTCCACCACAAATATAAGACCTTGAGTGTTTTGGAAGTAGTGCCTCCACAATGGACGAATCTGAGGAAAGATAAATCACATTTATTGGCTACGTAAAAAACACTAAATTATTCATGAATCGATTATATCATAGATAGAAAACTGCGATGAAAAGTTATCCACAGCTAACAAATGATGAAAAGTAGACTTCTAAGTTCATACTTTGTCCTGACCACCGACATCCCAAACAGTGAAGCTGATGTTCTTGTATTCCACAGTCTCCACGTTAAATCCTGCAAATACAGATAAAAATCAATTATAATGTCAAATGTCAGTGTCATGGAATCCAACCACATCAATGAAAACATACATATAATAATAAGACTAGTATGAAATGATTAAAAATCTAAGCAGGGCAAAAACATAACTAAACACAGAACGAAAGAAAGGGAGGGATACGACGCTTACCGATGGTAGGAATAGTTGTGACAATCTCTCCAAGCTTGAGTTTATAGAGAATGGTCGTCTTACCAGCAGCATCAAGACCAACCATCAGAATTCTCATCTCCTTTTTAGCAAACAGCCGACTGAAGAGTTTTGCGAAGGTCAGTCCCATTTCTGTTCGTAACGGAGAATTTCCTGCATTTTCAGAGCAAAAATATTACACTCACGAGGAGAATGTCAATGATTACGAACCGGAACAATCGCTGAAATTATTTAAAACATTGTTGTTTCAGAAAAGAGGTTAAATCTTGTGGAAAAAAAAAAAAAAAAGACGCCAGATAATAAATCCAGGGAAGATATATCATGATTCAGTTGCACGGAAAAGAATATGAGCTAATGAATCATATAATGCATGAAGACACAGTAAGATCACTATCGTGATCATATGAAGCACCGGTTGGCTCAAACAGTACCTTTAAATAACTAATATTCCATTACCAAGATCTACGGAAAACAGGCAATGAAGCACCGAACAGATCAGATCGGATATATAGATCCGCCAAACAAGTCAAAAAGTTGAAAATCGAACAGAAATCCCTTAACTGAAGTATAAATCGTCAAAATTCATGAAAATAGAGTTAATTATCAGACGAACCGAAGGCAGCATGTAAGAAGTATACCTAAGCTCCGACATACAATCAACAGCAGACAGAAAGCGGAGAAACACAAGAACGAAATGGAACGAATTCATCGCTATATACAGAAGAACTGTAACTCAAAAACAATGAAAGCAGACCAAGATTCAGAAGATTGGAATTACCACTGAGAGCTTCACAGAGAGGTCAGAAGTGTATTGAAAGGGATGTAGAGAACAAAAGAAGGCGAGCTTCAGAACGCGGATTATGGCGCTCGGTTGGAGGACGAGTATTGTTAAGACGGCTAATAAAGAAGCGACCGATGTGGGACGGAAATACGATTCTACCCCTAAATCGAACTTGCATCTTAAGTCTTCAGTGCTCGTAATTCTACCAATCACAACCAGCCACGTCATCCAAGGGGTTGCGCTGTCCCTCGAATCAATGGATGCCAAGTGCCCAGTGTGTGCATTGCGCGAGAAAATAATAAATCTAAAAAACTAATAATTGTATTAATAGATAAATTATTACCGTTGGAAATCGGGATTTCCACAATTGTCCACTTTTCGCGTAAGCTCTCATGGCTTTGTTTTGGGCTTTTCCAAAAGGCCTCGTACCAATGAAGACGATCGCTCCCTAAAGTAGCCAATGTGAGACTCCTTTCCAGCAATCCTCCCTTCAAACAAAGTATACTATAGAGCCTCCTCTGAAGCCTACGGAGCCTTCGAGTAGCCTCCCCTTAATCGAGGCTCGACTCCTTTCTCTGAAGCTCCTCGAACAAAGTACACCCTTTGTTCAACACATTAGTCACTTTTGACTATACCATCGAGGCTAGCAATTTCTTTGTTCGACACTTGAGGATTCTATTGACATGGCTAACTTAAGGGCATGACTTTGATACCATGTTAAGAATCACGGAGGGCTTCCCAAAAGGCCTCGTACCAATGGAGATGTATTCCTTACTTATAAACTCTCCCTAAAATAGCTAATGTGAGACTCCCTCCCAACAATCCTCAACCGTCAATATTCGTGTTTCTAGTAAAAAGTAAGTTTCTTTGCCATAAAATTATAAAATTTCTGAACTGGAGTGCTTCACTAATTTTCTTTTTTCTTGTATGACTAGCGGGTATATATATAGCTCGGAAGATTTGATTTTAAGTCGCAGGGAAACGGTTTCTGCTGGTTACGTTTCAATGGGTTCTTCCAATTTGGGCATTGTCACTCCTTGTGGCTTCTGGGGTCATTAAGCTACCATTCAACACTCCATTTCTTGATGAACTTCTTACGTAACAAGCTTTTTTTTCCCTCTTCGGATAGAAGTAATAAGCTAAAGGTTAGTCAACTTTGTTAAGTTTCTAATAGGTCCATTAATATTCAATTGTGGTTTGTGAGTTTGATTGTTCTCTCTGACATAAACAATTGGGCAAAGGATTAACATAGAAAGCTTCTTCTTCTTCCTTGCAGATCTCTTGCCTGCAAAAAGCCAGAGGTTACAAGTGTTTGAAAATTTTTCATGTAATCCTACGGCATTTTAGTTGTAAAAAAGTTTCCTCTCCCTAATTCAACCAATTATATGTATAAAAGCTTGCCTGTCTGGTGGTATTGTCCTCCTATTTCCAAGGAAACGGCGGTGACATTCAACTGTTGTAGCCATGTTTCCAGTATATGAGGATATAAACACCATCGCCTTCAACAGATACAATGCAGTCCAGAGCAGCCATTTGAGATGCGTGATGGATACCAAAAGGTTCAATCTCCTTTGGAGACGCCAATAGTTCCTGAAGAAGTGAGAGATGAAAGAAAGCAACTATAATAGAGAAACGAGATGTCAGATGGAATCTTATCGAAGAGGAATTAATATTGATTTTATTGACTTTTATGAACTATACATATTTTGTTTATTGACAATAAATTAAAACGAAAAACCCTCACACTTTTCAAATTTTAAAAATCAAAATTTAAATGGACATTAACCTACCAATAAAATCCTCCGGTTCTCTTAATAAAGTCAGCCCTTTGGGACATTCCTCGAAAATGTAGGTGTTCAATTTAACTACCAAACTTGGACGAACATACGAAATAATCAGAAGACATGAGGAAATAAAACGGCATACGGCCCTCTGTGATATTTCCAAAAACACAACAAGTTGAATTCTAATATTTTATATATATCTTCACACCAAATAAAATTAATTTGAGATGGTCAGAAATAGAAAAGTAGTGAAGATTGAGAGGTTGGGAATCATGATCCATAAGCTGAAGCAGAAAATTGCAAAACTGGAAGTTTTATTAAACAACAATGCTAATCTCTACTGTCAAAACCACACTATTGAATAACGAGTTCTATCTCAACAAATATTCTTACTTTAAAGTGGAGCTAGAAGAGAAAGTACTATTTGAGGCAAAATTTCACGATACCTGACTAACATGAGAACGAGCAACTCGTGGAAGAGAAGATTGGCTCAACATTTCGATAGAGCTAAAGTTACCATCCACACACTCCTCATGCATGAGAATCAAATTTTCAGCTACCTCCTGCACCATTAGAAGAACCATTAGAAGAGAAGAAATTCACTTCTTGTGAAGATGTAAAACGTTAGTAGATATGAGTTTTAATATGCTACTCTAGAGTTAACTTTGTCTATATGAAAGATGAAAGCTTGCAAAATTTGATATTAATCGAATACCCAACAGACGCTCCGCGGGACTGTATGATTGCTTGCCAAAACTACGTCCAGCCAGATCAAATATGCATCAAAATGTATTATAATAGGGGGAGGCATGATGTTAGACTTCCACCACCCCTAAGTCTTGTGGCCTAAATGAGCTAACCCATGACACGATGTGTCATGGCGTGGCGAGCGTTGCAAGATGAGTGTTTTGGATGTTTCCTTAGAAAATGAATTTTTTGAGGACACTAACGACGATACAGGTGTGACGATATTATGCCCTAGTCCATGCGTCAAAGGTTGATAATGAGGCTGCTCTCTTGTACGGTATCCATAAATGAATCAGCATGGACATGTGTTCATGCCTCAACGCATAACACATACGTGTCATGGTGTGGTGAGCGTTGCAAGATGAGTGTCTTGGACGTCTTCCTTAGAAAATAAATTTTTCGAAGACACTCTCACGACATAGGAAAACCAATATTATGCCCTAGCTCATGAGTCAAAGATTGACATAGTTGTTAACTTTTTTGCATCCTACATAGTCGTCCATAGAGACAGTTGACTTATACCTAGTTCATTTAGGGCTCTGTTTGTCCAGAAAATTAGAAAATTTTATGTATGCAGGCTGGTGAAGGTATTAACTTTTGGTTCTTTGTTGACTTTTGCAGATAAGAAGGGGTCATGAGGTACACAAACAATTATTATGAAATTAGTTTAGTTTGGACTTGTAGTTTGTAATTTTGTTTCATCCAACACAATCCAAGTTCTAGAATAACCCTACTATCTACTATTCTTTGGCTTCTTCTATCGTCCTCCTCCAATTGTTACTGACAACTTATAACTTGAATCCAAAGTCTCCGTTTTTCAATTGACTATTCTAACTTATACTTCTCCATTTACCACGTTAATGGATCTTTTTCCTTTTTAAGTAAGGATATCATCTCATTTTATTCTTAAAGAAAATTCATAGACGGTTCTAAGGAAGTAACCAATGTAATCATCAAAATATTTCATTCACTTGCCTCAAATTAAACCTTATTAGACACTACTCTTCGCTTTTCAATTGTCCTTTTTTCAAATTCTTTCATTAATTTTTCAAGGAAATTCATAAACCGTTCTAAGAAAGTACCTTATTTCAACATCATAAAACTTTATTCACTTGCCCTAAATTAAACCTTAATAGACAATACTACCTCAAAATTCTTGTATCTAAACTTTAAAACCAAAATTCTTGTATCCAAACTTATCTTTCTTCCACCCTTTCGTACATAACCAGCCATTGAACTTAAAAAATTCAAATGATTTTCCATTATAAAAAACTTGGGAGTAACCAAGTTCAAATGACTGTCCATTATCAAAAACTTGGGAGTCGAATCTTATACTTTAACCCACAATTTTCGTAACCAAACTTATTTTCCTTCCTTCCCAAAATACATAAATTTAACTTTCTTTAGCACCTTCTTTAGCACCAATTGAGCATATTCTTTATTCTAGTGCTTCCTTCCTCTACAATTTCTCTAACCTCATTTTGCGATCTCATATTCCTTCGGTTCCCACTATTCTTCACTTTTCAATTATCCTTGATTCAAATTCTTTTATATTTCTTATGGCATGTGACTTTTATTCTTTAATATATATAATCCTCCATTTATCACACTAGGTGGATATTTTTCCTCTTTTAAGTAAGAATATCATTTCATTTAATTCTTCTATGAGATCATTCTAAGAAAGTACTCTATCTTACCATCATAATAATTTATTCATAGACCATTCCAAGAAAGTACTCAATTTCTTTGGTCACATTATGAAACCATATATGCAAAAAAAATCTTGGTGGGAGGGGCATGTTCATAATTATTGTGACCTTCATGAGCATTTTTGTAATTTGCCATTTATAATATTTTACTCTAAAAATCCAAACTTTTTCTAAAAATTCTTGATCATAGTTTGGTCCATTTTTCCTTAATCTTGAAATTCCATCTCCATCAAGAATTAAAATCGGAGAAGTTTACTTGAAACTGAAAAAAATGACCTTTTTTTTCTTTTATACTTACTATTTCCTATTCAAACCTTTCTCAAAGGCTTGGAATCCTTATAATTCCTTGTTAGGGCATTGAAAATCTCTTTTTTGGGCTCATTAACCTTCCTGAGGTCTCTTAATCCTTTTTTTTGGATCCTTTAAACCATTCATGGGCACCTTAACCCGATTATCTTAATCTTATTTGGGCTCTTATAAATTCTCCCCCTCTTAAGAACATTCGTCTCCGAAAGTTCACTTTTCTTACCATGCCTTGGAGGAGTTCTTGGTCTTAGTTATGTCCTTCCAAGTTCCTTGAGGGTCCATGCATGGGGTTGTCCTTCTCTAGCATGTCTTTCTAATTTTCCCTTGTGGCCTTTTGTCCTGCCTTAGACCGTATACTTATTCTGGTCTTTGTTTTTCTTGTCTGATTTATTAACCTCCTTTGTTGATATTACAAGTCTTTCTTGGTAATCCCTGTGTTTTTCCTTATATCTAGGAGCATATTTTCTTCCTTGCACCTAATAAGTTTTGACACAATCAACCTTATTCCTACAAGATTGTATCTTAGAGATTTCTCTTGTTCCTTCTTGTACAAGGCTTATTTGTGGGTTCTTAGGGTCTTTAGTACATCTTTCATTTTTTCATTGGAGTAAATACTATTTCTTTTTCAAACCTTTCTCAATGGCTTGAATCCGTACAATTCCTTGCTAGGACATTGAAAATCTCTTCCTTTGGCCCATTAACTTTCCTTGGGTCTCTTAATCCTTTTTTTGGATCCCTTAAACCTTTCTTGAGCACTTAAACTTACCAAGTATCTTAATTTTACTTAGGCTCTTACAAATTCTCCCCCTCTTAAAAACTTTTGTCCTCAAAAGTTCACTTTTTTTACAACGCCTTCGGGGAGTACTTGGTCTGAGTTATGTCCTTCTAAGTTCCTTGGGGATCCTTGCATGGGTTTGTCATTCTCTGACATATTTTTCTAATTTGCCTTTGTGGCCTTTAGTCCTGCCTTAAGACCATGTACTTATTCTGGTATTTGTTTTTCTTGACGGTTTAACATCCTTTATTGAGATTACAAGTGTTTCTTGATCATCCTTATGTTTTTCCTTATATCTTAGAGCATATTTTCTTCCTTGTACCCAACAAGTTTTGACATAATCAACCTTGTTCCTTCAAGGTTGTATCTCAAGGTTGTATCTTAAAGACTTCTCTTGTTCCTTCTTATACAAGGCTTATTGGTTTATTGGTGGATTCTTATAGTCTTAAGTCCTTTCCTTCCTTCGTTAGAGTAAATACTATTTCTATTTCAAACCTTCTCAAAGGCCTGAATCCTTTAATTCCTTGCTAAGGCATTGAAAATCTCTTTGGCCCACTAACATTCCTGGGTCTCTTTGGCCCACTAACATCTTAATCCTTTTTTTGGATCCCTTAAACTTTTTTTTTTTTTTTTTTGCACCTTAGACTTACCCAGTATCTTAATCTTACTTGAAAAATTCTCCCCCTCTTAAAAACTTGTCCTTGAAAGTTCACTTTTCTTACTATGCCTTGGGGAGTACTTGGTCTTAGTTATGTCCTTCCAAGTTCCTTGAGGATCCTTGCATGGGTTTGTCTTTCTCCGACATGTTTTTCTAATTTTCCCTTGTAACTTTTTGTCCTTCCTTAAGTCCATGTACTTATTCTGGTATTTGTTCTTCTTGACTGTCTTCTTAGCATCCTTTATAGCATTCCTTATGTTTTTCTTTATATATTGGAGCATATTTCCTTGTACCAAACCAGTTTTGACATAATCAACCTTGTTTTTTCAAGGTTGTATCTTAGACACTTCTCTTGTTCTTTCTTGTACAAAACTTATTGGTGGGTTCTTAGAGTCTTAAGTCATTCTTTCCTCTTTCATTGGAGTAAATACTATTTCTTTTTCAAAGGCTTGAATCCTTAAAATTCCTTGCTAGGGCATTGAAAATCTCTCCTTTGGCCCATTAACCTTCCTTGAGTTTCTTAATCCTTTTTTGGATCCCTTAAACCTTTCTTGGGCATCTTAAACTTACCAGAGCATTTTAAACTTACCCGAGCATCTTAATCTTACTTGGGCTCTTACAAATTCTCCCCCTCTTAAAAACTTTCGTCCTCAAAAGTTCACTTTTCTTACCATACCTTGGGGGAGTACTTAGTCTTTGTTATGTCCTTCCAAGTTCCCTAAGGATCCTTGCATGAGTTTGTCCTTCTCCAACATGTTTTTTTAATTTGTCCTTGTGGCCTTTCGTCCTGCCTTAAGGCCATGTACATCTAGTATTTACTTATCCTTGTATTTACTTATTCTTGACCATTTTCTTAATATCCTTTGTTGAGATTACAAGTCTTTCTTGGTCATTCTTGTATCTTGGAGCGTATTTCCTTCTCTTGTACCCAATAAGTTTTGACATAACCAACCTTGTTCCTTCTTTCCTTGGTATTACAACGTTCCTGAATCCTTGAAACAACTCTTGGCCTCGTAATGAATATTTTCTCCAAAGAAAATCCTTTTTCTAAGGGCTTATAGTCTTAGTTCATCTTGGTGTTATGAACTCTTAGGGTTACTACTTGTTCTCGGGGTCTTAAGGCCATCTTACACCTTAGCTTGTACATTAACCCTAAAGTCAATCAAACACATAAAATCCTTAGGCATCCTTATCTTAAAGTCTTAAGGGTGTTCATTCCTGGTTGTGGTGGAGAGTCTCTCGAGCGGGGCCATAGAGAATCTTTACTTTGATATTACTCTGTCACGACCTAATTTTTGCGTTTAAAACAAAAAACATAAAAATACATTTTATCAAAATAAATTTTATGAGTTTAAATACATTGGCCCAG